GGATTCAAATTCGAATCTAAATAACTAAATATGAATATTTTTTTTTATCGATAATCTGAACTCTAATCTGATATCTTATATTTCACAGAATTGAATTTATATATACCTTTATCCGATTCGATTGTAATCTGAGCTATATTATTTATATATTTTTATATATAAATATTTAAAAAATTAAGTGAACATTTAAAAAAAATTAGCTAAAATCTAGGTATAATTTGTTAAAATTTAGTTAAATAATTTATTCAGATTGAATCGAATTTCGGATTGTTAACAGATTCAAATATAAATTATGAAAATAAAATTCATCGAATTATAGGATCGAACTTGTAAAATCAAATTCGAAATTGAATCGGTCAAAATCTGATCACAAAGCCGATCAATTAACAAGTCTAATTATAGGCTGAGAGCTGAATGTTTGGAGGTAATCATCAACCTCGTCACCACCCAAATTGTAGTGGAATGGGAGGTAAAGTGGCCGAAGAGCTTGTTTGTGGAAAGCAACTACAAGGCTACGATCAATATGTACTGTATGTGATAGATATAAGGCTATGGTGCTGTGATTGTAGATGCTGCTCCAATTACGATAGCATATCGGAACTGAACTAGTAGACATCAATCTTTTTTTAAGGTGCTGCTAGACATCAGTCTTGGTTTGATGCACTTTAGGCACTAATTGTGGGTGTTGATTCAATTTCGGAACTGTATCAAAACTAATTAATGGAGAAAATATAGTTCGATACATAATTGCATATCTAGTCATTGATCGTGAAAATATATCGAAGTGAAATAATAATTTTTTTTACTCATTTCACGTTTTCATTAAAGAAAGAAAAAGATAAAGAAAAAAAAAGACATTATATTGAAAAATAATTTTTTATATCATAATCGAATTTGTAGGTGCTTTGTAAGGAGACTCAAAGAGTTCAGCGTCTTAACCANTGCTTCTTCAGCACTCAAAACTAAAGAAATTGATGAAAGACTTCGAGTTCATTAGTCTTGTGCTTTGAATAGAAAATTGGGATATAATACATCGATGCCCTCTCAATTTTGACTAAATAATATGAGGGCCCTTTAACATTAGAAAAATGAAAAACTTCTTGATTGGAGGTGTCATCAATGAAATAATCACCTTTATCATATTTAATTGAATTTAAAAGATAAAAAATTCAACAGAATAATATCAAAAAATATGTAATTCAAATATTAGTTTTTCTGC